CATGCGGATCGTGTTGTGCCGACCCAGCACAACCCAATTTACACCTCTACTTGAACTCGCCCAATATTGGGGATGGGGTAGAGAAATTCGAGGACTCTTCATCCTTGATGAGGAGTGGGATGTCTTACCCCTGAACTCGCCTGACATTAAGGAGTGATTACCTTTGCCCTGAACCCGCGTGACACTAGGGATGGGGCGGGAATTGGGTAGAGTGTCTTGACTATGGGGCAGGGAAAGGGATGGGGTGCCTTGCCCTGAACCCACCCCTTTGTCATTCCTATATAATTGTTAATTATTAATGAAATTAATAAAAATGTTAGCTTTTATAATTAATTTTATTTATTGAAAATTAATCAAAATTTCATTTAAAAATAATAAAAAGAATAAAAATTTTTAAATGGATCAATACATGATGCTATAATTAAATAATAAAATGCATAAAATTCTAGAAAATGTAGAAATTTGTAGATAAATTTGGGCACATTATATATCATCATATAAAAAAGTGTAAATGAGAATTGTTTTCATTAATGACAGAAAAGGGATAAAAATTAAGAGAAAAAAAATAAAGAGCATTAAAGTCTAACACATGACCCCACTAACCATGTCAAATAGTTCAATGATTTAATTATCTAAGTCGTCGTAGGCAAGTGGTTTGGTGGTAAATGGACCTACAATCTTGAATTGGGTGGTGGATTGATCAATCTAATCAATTGATTTGACCACAATATTAAGAACCAATATTCAAACAATATATTAGAATTTAATTTCCACCTTGTAAATAAATAATTTTTATTTATATCATAAATTAAATAATAAAAATAAAAATATAGATTTTTTTTTATAAAAATTTGAACATGCATTAATATTATATATTCTTCATATCAAACAAAAATATGTTTGAAAAATTATAATTATTGTTAGTAAAGACAAAAATGGATAAAATACAGAAAAAAAAGAATCAATGTCTTAACCAAGTTAGGCCTTTGAGTTGAAACAACATATCCACCAATACCTTTTAATAATGGTTTTTTATGGTTAAAACAATCATTGTCTTATTTACTTGGGAAATAAAAGAACATAGGTAAATACACTTACTTGGGTAAGTAATTTCTTGAAAAGCGAACGGGGCCTTAGTTCTCTATGATGTAATGTATAGTGCTTTTCCTATATTTTTGCTAAACACTTACCTAGGTAAATGCATTTACCCGGGTAAATAACTTCCCGAAAAGCGAACAAGGCCTTACAATGGGTGAATGAGTTAGTAGGTAAACAAGAGGGGGTCTTTAGTACCTACAAAAACCCCTGGCCACTAAATGGACTAATACAATTTTAAGTTGTAGCAAGACAAAAAGATATGGAAAAAAAATAGGAACTATAATAAAGATAATAGTAAATTCTCATATCCACACTTTCAAATATCATCTTTACCTAACTGCTGGATTAATAAATTAAAATTGCTGAATGGAACCAACATAAGAGCACAAGTGGTTCAATTAGATCATCGACTTGATTGATCAAATTAGAAACTGGATGGAACCTTTTAGAGAATAAAAACTTATTCAGGGTGTGCACTTAACATCTTAGTGGTTCTTTGAGGTAGTATTAAAGTTTGTTTGACCAAGTGGTTTAGTGTTTGATACTTTCTACCACCGTTATAATAAATTAAATTTTAACATAAGGTATGGGTGAACTTGTGCTTGTCCACACTTCAAACCCTATAGGCTTTTTATGAGGGGCATGTTAGAGAATGAGAGCCTATTCAAAGACTTCACCTAATAGCTTAAGTTTTAGATTGAAACTTTGAGAGGACGAACACAAAAATTACAAAAGTTAATAGCTGATTTCCATCTTTACTCAATGCTCCATTTGGTAGCCTTCAAAGCATTGATGAAAATGTGGCATATGGACTACTTTTCCTTTCTAAAGAGAATTCCTCTCTTTACCCAATGCTCCTAATAGTCTTCAATATATTGATGAAAAAGGTGTGATATGAGTGAAGAAAAAAAGGGTTGAAGGATGTTGTAACCAATGCTCTCTTATGCTATATATATGACAATGAATACATTATATACTATGTTTTGGCAAAAGGGTGCAAATTAAAAAATGAGTGCATGCACCAAAGGTTGTAGGAAAATATACACACCATAAAAACTGAGGGGGGATTGGGCTTGAGACATTTAGATGAGATGAATGAGGTTTTGGAGGTGTTTGGTATGGTGGTATTGTGTTGCCATTGCATTTTGGGTTGATCAATTGTATATAAAATGGTTGAGGGTTGAAAGAAAAGATCACACACGGGTTTACACTTGGTTGGTGTGTTTATATAGATTTTAATTGAATACATCTTATGTACAAGTGGCAGAAATATACAAGTAGGTGAGTCATAGTATAAGTCTAATAGTAAAAGTGATAAAATATAGAGGATAGCATAGATAAGCCCAAGAAAAATCTGGAAACACATTTTTGGGCTTTCGTTGAGAGTATAATCCTTATCAGCCCCCTCAAACTGAAGAGGGGTTTGACAACTTGAAGCTTGGATCTTAGAAAAGCAAACTGTTGAGAAGACAACGACTTAATAAGTATATCAATTAGTTGATCTTTTGATGAGATAAAGCGAACTTCAAGTTGTTTGGATGCTACCTTATCCTATACAAAGTGATAATCAATTTTTATATGCTTTGTATGGGCGTGAAAAATAGGATTAGCTATTAAATAAGTGGTTGCAATATTATCATACCTTTGATGTCCTCCACTGTGTAGGCATCAACCCGTATAGTGACTACAGTAGTAAATGATTCATATTCTGAATTGAGTCCACTAAGAATAGTTGAGGATAGAGAGGTTCACCTACTACAACAAAATTATATGTGGGATTCTTTACTTTTTCAAGACACCGAGGAACTGAAAGAGTTCCCTTCTTCAAATTGCGCAATTCAAAATGAAAACACTTGATTTGGAGGCATACAACTGCTCCAAGGTTATTCACACAGATCGGGAGGAAGTGCATCCCAATAACCTGTGCAATTAAGTGTCATAAGCAACCAACCCATTAATACATGGTCTAGCTGCACCTAGTCTCGATAGGCCGAGCTTACGGTGACTTTAGTAGATGATTTCAGCAGTATCATTGTGGTTGCCTTGCTTGGGTGGACATTTTTTCTGTGCCATCGGTGAAACCCAAGAGATGATTTCTTCTCAGAACTAGAAGAATGGATGATTTTCTTGAAAAATTAATTGGTTCAATCTACACGAACAACAAAGTTGTTTGAAAGATTTAGTATCTTTCCACTTTGGATAATAGTTTGACTCTCAGATGACATAGATTGGGTAATGGATGAAGTCGACATGGTGTTTTTAGCATAGGTCTAAGATGGTTCTAATACAGTAGTAGAAATCTAATAGTAAAAGTGGTAAGATATTATAGAAGATATGAGATAGATAAGCCCAAGTGAATTCTGGAAACGCAATTTCTAGGCTTCCGTTGAGAGTGTAATCCTTATCAGTATGTACTCTTTTATCCCACGTATCACCATAAAGAAGCTCTCAAAAGCCCAGATTGTTTCTTTTGTTTCTTGTCCCAAACAGCCAAGGTTTTTTCATTTATTAGAATTTTTGAATGGTTAAGTGAAAACAACTAAGAGTGCACTTGGGCACACTATAAATTCTTCAGGTACCCGACCTGCATTCGTAAGAACAAGACAATAGATAAAAACAAAATAATTTTCAGAGGAATAGATGATCAGGATTCAAAAAGAGTGGTAGAAGAAATCATCTACGCATATTAAACCATTTCACAAGGAAGCGCCATCACAACCACTCAAACCATAAGTAACGTATATATTTGCAAAAAAAAGTGCTATATATTTAGAGCAATCACGAATTTTGATATATTTGGCGATGGATCATCTACAAGAATTGAGATTAATTGAAGCAATGGCTATTCAGGAATCAATGATGAAGTTCTTAGCTAATAATAAATTTATGGGTTCCACTGTAAATGGTGTGAGCCTATCCATATCAACCAAACTTTGCTCCCCTTTTTTATTTTTTTTAACATATGTAATAATTCAAATACACATTATTATATGGGATGTGATTTGTGAGAGAAATTTACTTACGGGGGCCAACTAGGAAGCTTCCGTGTACAAACCCTCCTATTATTGTCACGTGGAGAGATGTTGTGGCCTATCCATATCAACCATGCATCTATCTTGAGAGATTGGCTTCAGTCAGTTCAAGGCCCCGTTGGAACACTATTTGTACAGTTTTTTTAGCCTTGCACTGCGAATACCTCCGTAACTATGTACCTGATTTCATGGGGAGATATTCCCAATACAAGGCCATAAAGTCTGTTCAAACGTGTCTTGCACTGACTGAAGCGAATTTATAGTGTAGATCACTAATGTTGGAGCCCGAATCACCTGCCAACAAAACATGTTCCAACTCTCTACCAACATAATTTCACACTGCACATCTCATGTCATGATGAGTCTCACTTTTATGGTGGGTTCTAGATTTGTAGTGAGATGTACGATGTTAGATCAAGGTGGTAAAGAGTTGGAACGTGTTTTGTTGGCTGATGAAGATACTCAATTCGATCCTTCAATGTTTTAATTTAATATGCACAGGTGGATCTAGTTTGCACATGTAGAAAAATTTTTGGCCAGGTTGGAAGAGGATTATTGATTACAAGCTCCTTAAACGTATAATAAAAGCAATAAATATTGAGAAACAAGGACCGAAGGACAACTGCATGCCAAGATAAAATAAATCGCTTTCCAAATATCAAATCAGAGCGGATGAGCTGCACTACGCGTACATTATATACCACTGTTCCGAGCAGTAGATATATATATATACTTTTTTGTTGGCAGGGAGGCAGTAGAAAATTAAGGATGAGACAGTGAAGACAGACGAGATCGATAAAATTTCACTGCTGATGAATCTTTCTTTGCTTATAAATATGACCAACAAACTGGACATACTGTTTTACCACAATCTTTTTTAAATTTCTTCTTCTCTACTATCTCCTAATCGCTTCCTCTACTTTCCTTGTTCGGTTTCCTTTGCTTATTCGATAGGAATTGAAGGGATGATTCACAAGATTGTAGACACGATTGCAGGGAAGGAAACCCAAACCAAGTTGAATGATGAGATGGGCGGGAAGACGAAGATCAGAGGAACGGTTGTGTTGATGAAGAAGAACTTGCTGGATTTCAATGACCTCCACGCTTCGGTCCTCGATCGGTTTGATGAGTTACTTGGCGAAGGAGTTGCATTGCAGCTCATTAGTTCTGTTAATGCAGACCCAGGTAAGACTTTGAGGCTTGACCCTGCTTTTTCTTCCTTGATTCCCAGTTGGTTGGTTTCCATATTCTCTTGTGAGTTGTTTCCACTTGCTCTGGGTAACCCAATCAGCTTAGTAGAGGATTCTGATAAGTTTGTTGAGTTGCATAACTAGAGAAGAAATGAGATACTGACTTGAGGAGTTGGGAATTGAAACCTGCATTCTGTTAAATTAATATAACCTTTAATTTGTTGTTTTTGTGCTTACTTGATTCTGTGTGCTTCTTACATAAAAATAATTATCAGAACTTATCTTTTGATTTTTCTTCTTTATTTTAGTTTAAGTGCATCATCATTGGACATTCTCTTGTGATTTTCTTTGCCTTTTCTTCCTTCTCTGTTTTCTGTTGAGGAGCTAGTGAGAGACTGAAGGAAATTATAAGAGAAGGGTAACTAGAAATAAAAAAAAAGGAAAAGTCATTTTATATGGGTCGAAGATCATGATTTTAGCAAGCAGTTGGACAGGTGGGTGGCCTGCTAGAGTAATATCCATGATGCAAACCTTTAATGGATTCAGGGGCTGATAAGATCACCTTAGAACTCAGTGAGAACAGATGATGGGAAATGGGCTGCCAATCCAATTAAATTTCCCACAAACAGAACCTTCCATCATGGGCTTGGGAATTTGGTAGAAGGGAAGCAGAAACAGTACTCTTCTGGTGTTATATAAATATTTGTTGCTTAAAGGTTTTGGCCTTTTAGTTTTGGGTGTAGTAGTAGAGTCTGGGGTACCTGAGAAAATGAAACTTGTGATGCAAAAACTAGTCAACGAGCTGTGACAAGGAGACTCAAATGGCCAATCAATAACAACCAAACTTAGTTTGGATTGGACCTTCTAATTTTGACTTGATTTTAATTTTTAAGCACTCTATGTTGAGTAATTTACACTCCTCTGTAACGCTCCAAGCAACAAACATTGTTTGATAGATTTCAAGCAACAAACATGTCACGTGCATAAATCCATTCATAGAGGATGGACGGAAGGAACCATGCCTTGTTAATTAAGCAATCCACGACAACCCCATCTCTCTCTCTCTCTCTCTCTCTCTCTCTCTCTCTCTCTAACATTGCCAAAAGATGTATTGGGTGGTGTATACTAGATAAATTATTAAATTATCAAAATATGTTTGTTTGGTTCGTGACTTGGTGTTGGGAGAGATCGCTAAGGAATCTGGCGTACACTTCACGGGGGAGATCATTGTTTTTAATCTGTCAAAACTCAAATGCCGTTTGGAGAAAAGGGTCGCCTCCTGGATCCCACGAGTCAAAGTTAGGTCCAGTCCACTACCATTTAAGCAACCTTGGCTAAAACTTGAACCTCTGTCCCCGATGGCTGCTGGGTTTCCATTGCCCTCGCTTGGTTAAGTCTGATATGTTCCTGTTTTGTTAGGTCTATTGGTGTTTCTAGTCCTGAATTTTCTTCCTTCTCTGTATCACGTTTTGACTCTGTTTCTGAGTCTGGTTTAAGGGGATGAGTTTCTTTCTTACCTTACCCCAAAAAAAGAGCAACCTTCTAATATTTGAAGATGATGGACAGATGAACAAATTTCGATGCACAATAAACTTTCATTTATTGACAACCTATTTAAATAAAATTAGCAACCATTCTCTGAATCCCATAATATTGTTAGGTTACATGTCAGTTTTGGCCCATAAAAGTTTCTACTCTTGTTCTGTGCTTTTCCCGGGTATCATCATTCATCAACATGTAACATGTACATGGGGTTCCAAATTTTCTGATTCTTTTGACTGTGTTTGGTTAGTGTAAATGGGCCGAGTGTGTTCTGATTTACTTTTGTTTCAGAGTTTTTAATTACCTCAAATAGGAATTAAAATGGTACCATCCCCCATCCCACCATTATATTACTTTTTTTGGTAGAAGAGAGGAAAGGAGGGTTATCTGTATATCAATTATCAGTGTGGTAGGACTGTAGGAGGCAACATAAATGTAATCCTACATTACATAAGAGAGAATTGTGGTAGGTGTAAGTGTAAGGTGGTACGTGAAAAATTTACATTGTTAACTTGTGCAATTGAGATAAAAAGTAAAAATTTCGTATAAGGTTGACTTAATGCAAATCATAATTACAATCGTCATATATGGGGATATATCAAACATAGTATTATATATTGGTTAGGGGTGCTCTTAAAAAACCCAAAAAATGGAATCTAAAAATGTGATTAATCAAACTGAACAAAAAAATATGGTTAATCAAATCGACCAATTTGGTATTTCTGAAAAATAAAGGACCAGTGCGGTTTTTGGTTAATTAAAAAAACACACACACACAAGGGAGATATGGGGAAGGATTTCACACTATTCCATTCTATTGCAAGAGGAAGGAGGGGCAATTCCAATAGTTTGAAATATTTTATTGACTCCCTGGCAATTAATCAGGGGCAATTTCATATTTTTATTGGTTTTTTCGTCTGAATCATTGATGAAAGGGAGATTTTTGTCGAGATYTTTAAAAGTTTAGGGAAGATTTTTGCTAAAATAAAACTATAGAAGAGGTTTTAATGATTGTCAGAAACTTTAAGGAAGGTTTTTGGGAAAATTTCCGATTAATGATTGTCAGAAACTTTAAAAGTTAGGGTGGTTGGGGGTATTTCAAGGAATGTGTCATAAAAAATTTTAGGGAAAATTCCCGATTGGTATCTTGTACTTTGGGCCTAGTGCCACTTTGGTCCTCGGACTTTAAAATTCGACAATTCAATACCCAAACTTTTAAAACGTGACAATCCAGTACCTACATTAACTAGCTGTTAACAAGTCTTTAAGTGGCATTTGAAAAAGGCATAAATGCCTTTCAAGTGTTATTTAGTTTTCTTTGTCAACCATCTAAATCCTTGTCTTTTCCATTCAAAAAAGTTGGAATCATGTTTGAGTGAGCCAACTTTCTTGAATAGAAGAGGCAAGGATTTAAGATTATAATTTTTTTGTCAATTCTTGTTTGGTTGATAAAAAAAAATTAGATGACAATCAAAGGCATTTATGTATTTGTCAAATACCAATTAACATCTGATTAACAACCTGTTAACAATAGGTACCAGATTGTATTATTTTGAAAATTGAGATATTGATTTGTTGCATTTAAAGTTGGAGAACCAAAGGAAGTTTTCCTTATATTGATTTTAAAGTGACGATTGAACGTGCTTATACGTCGTGCCTTCCTGATCCGAACTCATAATCAACGATTCAACGTGAACGTTGGACTTTTGTGATGCGTCTCACGAACTACGATTTACAAATCACATTGAAATTTGAGGTGATTCCAAAGCAAACGTATTTATTTTGTTTTGTGGGCATTTGTGCAGTCAATGGGATGCGAGGCAAGGTTGGAAAGGCTGCTTATTTGGAAGAGTGGATTACAACCGTGACACCGTTGACGGCCGGTGCATCGTCATTCAAGGTCACCTTTGATTGGGACGCTGATATCGGAGTTCCGGGAGCTTTCATTATTAAGAACTTTCATCACAGTGAGTTCTTCCTCAAGACTGTCACGCTCGAAGACGTTCCAGGAGTGGGTCGCCTCCACTTCCTCTGTAATTCTTGGATTTACCCGGCTAAGCGCTACAAAAATGATCGGGTTTTCTTCACCAACCAGGTACGTGCAATATAATTACAGGTGAGAGAGAGAGAGAGAGAGAGAGGGAGTAAAAAGTTCACCAACTTTCAAATTTTCTCAACTTTTTCTTGAAGGTATTTTAAGTAACGTGGTTTTGTTACAGAGCTACCTACCAGCTAAAACGCCAGAACCCTTGCGCAAGTACAGGGAGGAAGAGCTTGTTAATCTTAGAGGAGATGGAACCGAAGAGCTCCAGGAATGGGACCGAGTCTATGATTATGCTTACTACAATGACTTAGGTGATCCTGACAAGGGTCCTGAATACGCCCGTCCCATCCTTGGAGGTTCCACAGAGTACCCATATCCTCGTAGGGGAAGAACTGGCCGGAAACCCACCATGACAGGTTTGCTTCTTCTCTGGAATCTCAGTTCGATGGCATCTTCACTCTTCAGCATTGGTACATTGTTTTTGTTGTTAAACTTAAACCTAATTAGCATCTTAATTCAACGCTACCCATATTGGTCGTAGATCCTAACTCAGAAAGCAGATTGCCGCCACTTCCCAGTCTGGACATTTACGTCCCCAGAGATGAACGGTTTGGTCACCTGAAGATGTCGGATTTCCTTGCATATGCGCTGAAATCCCTGGTTCAATTCTTGCTCCCGGAGCTGAAAGCTTTATGTGACAAAACCCCTAACGAGTTCGACACTTTTCAAGATGTGTTTAATCTCTATGAAGGAGGAACCCAGCTACCCAGTGGTGCATTTGATCGTCTCAAGGACGCAATCCCCTTCGAGATGCTCAAAGAACTTTTCCGGACCGACGGTGAACAGCTCCTCAAATTCCCTTTGCCTCAAGTTATCCAACGTATGCATCTAAGTTAACATTCACCACCAACTTTCTTTTTCTTTTCTCTGATTTGAGTAATTAATTAGCACACTAAGGGAGAAAATTAAGAATATGGTCCTTGAGATTGTTTTCATGACATAACTGCAGACGATAAGTTTGCTTGGAGGACAGACGAAGAATTTGCAAGAGAAATGCTCGCTGGAGTGAACCCAATTTGCATCTGCGGTCTTCAAGTAAATTTAACCACATATTCTAATATTGCTTTTGCTGCTTTAATCCCGGCATCTGCTCATGAATTTTCATTTCTTCGATCAGTAATTGACAAGAGACTTACGCGCAGGAGTTTCCACCGGCAAGCAAGCTTGATCCTAAATTATACGGCAACCAGACTAGTTCGATAACCAGAGAACATATAGAGAATAACCTGAATGGGCTGCTATCAGTCGACGAGGTATGCATTATATTCATATATTAACATATTTCATAGTCAAAGTGATAATTTCTGCTTAGAGGTGCAGGTGCTTGATGGAAGATATAACAATGCTCTGTTTTGTGTAGGCTATTAGGAAGAAGAAGCTATTCATATTGGATTATCACGATGCATTGATTCCTTACCTGGAGAGGATTAATTCGACTATCACAAAAACCTATGCATCCAGAACAATCCTCTTCCTGAAAGATGATGGGACCTTGAAGCCGTTGGCTATTGAGTTGAGCTTACCACACCCACAAGGAGTGCAACATGGTTCAGTTAGTAAGGTCTTCACTCCATCCGAACATGGCGTCGAGGGTTCAATTTGGCAGCTGGCTAAAGCTTATGTTGCTGTTAATGACTCCGGCTATCATCAGCTCATCAGCCACTGGTATGATCCCGTACGTGATACAATTCTGTAATTTGGTGGGAAATGCCAGTCAGAATTCGGAATGGATTTCTTCAACTGTCATGCTTCTGTTTGCAGGTTGAACACTCACGCGACCATTGAGCCATTTGTGATTGCAACAAATAGACAGTTGAGCGTGCTACATCCGATCCATAAGCTCTTGCATCCTCATTTCCGGGACACACTGAACATAAATGCCTTGGCCCGGCAGATTCTCATCAATGCTGGTGGAGTGCTTGAAAAGACTGTGTTTCCGGCAAAATTTGCCATGGAAATGTCTTCCGTGCTCTACAAGAGCTGGGTCTTCACGGATCTGGCACTCCCAGTAGATCTCATCAACAGGTAAAAGTACAGAGGCTAGAAAGAACATTAGACAGTACTGAACTTTTGGGTCTTCACTGAATGACAATTCTCTCAGATCATTTTGCTCTGTACAGGGGTATAGCAATTCCAGACAGCAACAGCCCCCATGGCCTCCGCCTTCTCATTGAAGATTATCCCTATGCCGTTGATGGACTCGAAATATGGTCCGCCATTGAAAGATGGGTCCATGACTACTGTTCTTACTATTACCCGAACGATGACTTGATCCAGGGTGACTCTGAACTCCAATGCTGGTGGACTGAGCTCCGCAATGTGGGGCATGGCGACAAGAAGGACGAGCCATGGTGGCCCAAGATGCAAACGCTTTCGGACTTGACCCAAACATGCACAATCATCATATGGGTAGCCTCAGCCTTCCATGCGGCAGTGAATTTCGGACAGTATCCTTATGCAGGCTACCTCCCCAACCGTCCGACTATAAGTCGTCGGTTCATGCCTGAGCCAGGGACTCCTGATTATGCTGAGCTTGAGTCAAACCCTGATAAGGTCTACCTGAAAACAATTACAGCCCAGCTCCAAACCCTCCTTGGTGTGTCCCTCATAGAGATATTATCCAGGCATTCCTCTGATGAGGTCTATCTAGGCCAAAGAGAGAGTCCTGAGTGGACATCAGATGCAGCAGCACTGGAAGCATTTGAGAGATTTGGAAAGAAACTTGTGGAGATCGAGAACAGAATCATAGAGATGAACAATGACAAACGGTGGAAAAACCGAGTAGGGCCTGTCAAAGTGCCATACATGCTGCTGTATCCTGACACCTCAAACTATACCGGTGTTGGGGGGCTGACTGGTAGGGGAGTCCCCAACAGCATCTCAATCTAAACCATCCTACTTCTGGACAAAGTGTAAGTTTTCAGCTATATAATCCAAAATTATATTGTTCTACCTACAAATTAATAGGTATATATATATATTCTGCAAGGCTTTGCTGGTTACGAGCAGTAAGTTTGGGATGCAGGAGAGGAGAGAAAGAAAATCGTAACTTAGAAGACCGCAGGACTTCTGCAGGCAAGTTCCTGTTAACATCACCAAAGATAAACCCATCTCAATTCCCTTAATAACAATCATCCATACAGTCTCTCTGTTGCTTTCTCATGCGTCTGGTCAAACAGGTGGAGCCATCTTGTGCTTGTTTGGATTGCTTTAGTGGGTACATGAAATGTACTATATATGGATGTATAAGCCTTTCGTTACAAGGGATTCACTAATCCACAGTACAACATACAGTATTAAGAAGCTCTTTTACTTTCAGCCCATTCAGTATAATATACCTAGTTTGGAAGGTAGAAGGCAAAACCTTGTATTTTGTATTATTTTATATGTATTTATATTTTATATTATTTTATATGTATTTGTACTCCTTTCAAACTGAGCATAAGGCTGCATTTGAAAATGATGTAAATGGAGTGTAAATCCTGGTTTAGGGTAAATTTGCACTCTGGTTCACAATTGCCTGTGTTTGGCAACATTATTTATGCATTGACAAATGACAGACTAATACATATTTACATTGATAATAAGATGTAAAAGTATATGGATAAAAAAGAAGTAAATTTGCATTCAAGTGGGCTTTTGATAAAAAAAAAAAACATATGCTTTATTGGAATTCATGTTTACATCCATTATAGCTAAAAAGTCTGTTTGGTAAGAAAATAAATTTGTCAGTGCAAAACTAACCCAATTTTACAATTTATATGAACCGTTTTACACTCTACATATTTCCATTCACAGTTATTTGCATTGTTTCCAAATGCAGCCTAAGCAATTTGCTGACTTCGTGGTGGTCTCACATTCCTAAGATTTCAATATCTAAATCAAAATTTAAAAAACCAATCCGAAAATGGAACCGTGGCCACCAGTTTTGGGGTTGAACAGTTTGACCATTTGGTCCGAATGGTCAGCCTTTGACATTTTTAAAAATTAAAAAAAAAGACCCAAAAACTGTTATCTGGTTCAATGATTTAACGATTCAACCATCTGGGTCAGTAGTTCGCTAACTGATTCAATGGTTTTTTTGGAGAAATCGGGGATATGTAAAAAACAGAACCAGATAGGTGACCGGTTACTGAGTTGCACGGTTCAACCACTCAGATCAACGATAAATTTAAAACCATGGTCTAAATAACCTAGTTTTAAACTGGTCTATGCTCCCAGCAACCTCCTTCCAATCAGCAGCAGGGACAAGCGTGGAATAAAAGTTTGGATTATGCATGTTGTGACCTCAAAAAATGAACATAATTTGGAATTCAATTTTACCTACAGGGTGTTCTACAACATGGATTGTTTTTCTTATTGCCGGTTCTAAAAAAAAAGAAATATCAAAACCATCTGGTTTGAAAACAGATTGTTTCTCAAAACAAAAATACAAAACCATGTTTTTGATTGTGCGTTTATTTTCTGTTTTCAAAACTGAAACCAAAAACATGTTCTTGAATCTGGTTAATTTTTTGCTGATGTGGCAATTCCAAAAACAAATGATAACAAAAACTTTCATGTTGCAGAATGCCCCCTTAGCTAAAACTCCTATATTGGGTCCCGTGGTCGTAAAATCATTTGCATTTTCTTCTTTAGCTATTAATCGTTAACAAATTGTATTAATAAAATTGCCACAGCATAAAGAAGGGATATGGCAGCTAAATAGCTATGAATTGGTGATGAAATGGAAGGAAAAGATGTTGTAAATTAGGTCTAAAAGGAAGTAAGGCCACAATAACAAATAGTTCGGGCGGGCCAACATTAATCCAAGCCCAACCCAAGTTAAACTCATAGCCCAAAGAATGACCCATTCTTAGCCTTAGCTTTAAAGTTTAAATTGGGTAACCCAGCCTGAGAGAGACATGGTCTGGGCCATCTGGGCTTGAGGCTACTGAGGCCCAATGTACAGCTTTCATTATTTCCGCGATTCAATTTCTACACACAGTGAGGCAGCATAACTTAATAAACTGGCATAGACGGCGTGGGCAACTATCTTATGGGGGGTTGATTTGAATTCGTATTAGTAGTGGATGATGGAGAACCACCCTGTAACTTTTCAAAATAACCAATTCGTTTAGGTTCCATCGTTTTTGTCAATCCTTCAGCATTAGGAGCCGTTTTATATAGGGCTGTCAATGGGTTGGGTCTATCCGATAGATCTGGATCGTCCGAATCATATTTATCAGTTCTGGTTCTATGATTCATTCCGATGGATCGGTTTTAGTTTTATTTTATGTGTCCTGATTAATATCAGTTTAGGATCAGTTTTGACTGTCCCAAACCGACTAGACCTGAACCGATTATATATACATGTTTTAGAGTTATATGTATGCCTAAAATTGTAATTTTACTTTTAACACTTAAAACCCTTGAGCTCAAAACCTCTTGGCCTTTACCCTTTTGTTTTGCTTTTGTCGCTTGAGGCTTTATCTTCTAAAGTTCTATTTGTCACTTTCTCTTTCTCTGAGAAATTTTTTCATCACCGTCTCTACATCTCACCGATTCTCAGTCATCACTGTCTCCTACACACCAAGCTCTACCATGGACAAAGAAAAAGAGAAGATGGGGTAGAAGAAAAAAGCTTATCATAGTTTAAATGCCGCCCATGTCAACCTGGGACTGGGAGTACCAGATAAATGGATGGCTAGTAAGTGGGCTCTAGCTTAATTGCTGGATATTTCAATTTTTAAATAAGGAGGCAGTTATTTCAAGATCACTGGATGGATATATGTAGGTTTGCTGAATTTTTTTCCATTAGCTTCAATTTAATTGCTATTATTTTGTTTTTAGTAAGGTCAAAATGAAATTATATAGGATTATAGGCTGTTTACAGATTGACTTTTAGCAAGATTATGTAAATATAATAGGTTTTTTTTTTTTTGACAAATATCCTACTGATATTCTGATAACAAGTTATTGAAAAAAATGTTCTTTTCTTATCAAACTAGCATCAAGTAAGTGATTTTTTGTTGCTGTATTTATTAGTAATATTAATTAATTAATATAGAATATTTTATCAAAAGCTACAGGTTTTACCATCTTAAGTATGGGTTTTTATTTAATCGGATCCAAACCCGATTGTTCCGATTGGCCCATGAATTTGGTATTGGTTGTGAAATAATAAAACCGACCGGGTCTGGTTTGATTCCAGTACTGTGGTTTTAGCAATCAATTTGGAACGGTTCTACCCCATCCCAAACCAAACCCGAACTGTTGACAGTCCTAATTTTATAACTGCTGAAATGAACTTATTTTTCCCTAATGGCTGAAGCTGAAGTTGGATTGATTACTATATATGTATATCCTCGAAATCATTCAGCTCAACCACTTCATCTCTCATCAATGATCAAACGGCCCCTACTTCAAAGAAGCTGAACCAGCTGAAATGAATATTCAGTTTAGCCCTCCCAAATCCCAAAGCCAAAGGGCCCTACAGTATTGGATCGGTCAAAGATACATTCGAACTATCAAAACATTGGATGCTAACGTGTGGATTATCCCTTAATTATAAAACTGAATTCAATTAAAGTTTGCAAAGGCCCTACAAGGGTTTCTATTATTATGGTTTTTTATTTATCTTTTCTCATTGGAAACTTGAAATGGTAGGTGGGCTTTTTTGCATTTGGATTGGGAATTCAGTACTTATTAACACCTTTAATTGTCATAAATCCCATCTACAAAATAATGAGAGAAAGAAAGCATCTTTGAATTAATAATAAAACAAAAGAATCAATGGTTGTAATGTTGTTTACTTGTTAAATGCAAGTATGCCCTTGTCAATTCCCAAGATTGACGAGATCGAGATTGTTTGAGTGGATGACAATAACTACTTAAACAAACAAGTAGTAAGGTGGTAGGCTTAAGAAATATATCCTCCAATTTTGACCGGATGAAACTTTTTCGCTCTTCTCCTGTTCAAGGTTGAARAAATGGAGGTGATATCACATCTTCAACAGTCCATTAAGAGAATTCTGTTATTGATTTAGCGAGTGCCTCCTTCCTATTGGCCTCTATATAAAAACACCTTTTATGATTTATCTATAAAGTTGCTAGCTGCTTCTAGTTTAATTCCTTCAATAGCATGAAACTTAATTTGATAGACATACAAGAATAATGTACAATATATTTCTCTCAGAAGATAGAACTACAAATAACGATGCAACCAGACCGGGTTAGCTCAGGTTGATCGGTCGACCTTTTACCCGATATATATGGTCAAGAAATTAATCAAGTTTGATAGGTTTTGGGTCCTCTTCGAAAGCAAACATGGGACTGAAGCTTTGGATAAGCTACTAGAAGAAGCTTCGTAGCAAAGCTCAGTTTGGGAAGAGGACAAAATATGTACAATGTAAAATAAAATTCATACTTACTCTCTAATAATATTATTTTTTAAAATAACTTATTTTTTCTCTATTAAATCTCAACAGTCAATGTTTATAACATCTTTCCTCCCACTTAAATTTCTTCCCTCTTAAATATTTTTAATTTAGGGGTACTCAAAAAAAACTGAAAAACAGAAATATGCGGTTGACTGAACCAAACAGTTCAGTTTTGATTAACATAAAAAACAGTGGTTAACCAAACTTACTTGTGTATTATATATATGCATTATATATATATATAATAATATATATTATTTAATTTTTATAATATAATATATTAAATATATTTATATATTTATTTAAAATATACTATAAATATCTGAAAACCAAACAACTGAACCAGTCAACTGGTGGTATTGGTTTGGAAAATTGCAAAAACCAGTGATACCAATTCGCTTTCAAAAATATGCTCAAGGTTTGATTGTTTGAACTTGAGCACCCTTACTTTAAACCCTTTTGAGTATCTTTAATTAGGGGTGAGTATTATTTGGTTAAAACAGAAAAATTGAATTGAAAATTTTGATTCCGGTTTTTTCAGTTTGATTTTTTCTGGTTTTGGTTTATTTAATTTGATTAATTAAGGTTTTTTAAAAAATATTCAGTTTGGGTTTCAATTTTCAGAATTAGAAATTTGGTTGGCTGAAAAAAAAATCGAATTTCATTATATAATGTTTATAATGAAACTCGCTTTTTATATATATATATATATAAAATATTATGTACATTAATAAAATCTGTTTTTTATCAAAATAACAAAAATTGAATTGAAAATTTTGGCTGTAATTATTTTGTTTTTCCTATAATTCGGTTTCCTTTTGGTTTTCATTTTTTAATTTTGGTTTTTAAAATTTCGATTTATTCAATTTGGTTTTTAACTAAATAAATGGAATGCTC